TAATAATAACAGATACCGAAATAATGACAATAATCAACGGCGATACTCAAATAAAGTAAATAAAGTAAATACGGTCAATATAGAAGAAATAAAGGAAATAAAGGATGTAAATTATGATAAAATTGAAAAAGAAGAATATAGTCTTTTTAATGTGGATATAAATAATCTTGATGATGATAATAACAAAGCGTATGACGCATATAAAATCATGATGCACCTTAATGATGTGCCAATTGAATTACAGATTGACACGGGGTCAAGATTCACAATACTACCAATAAGTGTTGCAAGAAAAATTGGTATTAAAACATTAAAGAAATCGGAAACAAAACTTATGGGCTACGATGGGAGAATTATAAAGGTGTTGGGCACCGTTGACATCAAGGCAAAATATGGAAACAAGACAGAGACCTTGAACATACACGTAGTGCAGAGCAATAAAATACCGCTGTTAGGTAGGACATGGTTAAAAGCGTTTGGCAACATATTAAATCAATTTGTAAACCATGTCGAATAAAATTATGATGATGCAATACAAAAGATGATAAACGAATGTAAAACCAAAGTTGACAAAAAGCATATAAATCGCAGTTATGTTAAACTTTATCTTAAACAGGACGCTATACCAAAAATAATACCGCCAAGACGAGTGCCATATAAACGACATGATTTGTTATCAAAGGAGTTGCAGAAGTGGATCGATGACAAAATAATCGAGCCAGTGGACGACATACGCTGGGCGAGTCCGCTCACACCTGTTTATAAGAGCGATGGTACATTGAGGCTTTGCGTAGACTTCAAGAGCACAATCAATCCAGCACTGGTAGACTTCAAATACCCAATTCCAAGAATCAATGACCTTATATCAAAGCTGTTAAAAGGCAAGAAGTTTACAAAAATAGATTTTATGAATTCTTTCCTTCAAATACCAATTCATAAAGAATCAAGAAATCTTATCACCATATCCACGCATAGAGGCTACTTCAGATTCACCAGACTTCCTTTCGGTTTAAAGACACCATCAGCTATCTTTCAGCAGACTATGGATAAAATTTTAGGTGATTTAAAAGACGTTATTTTCTACATTGATGACTTATTAATTACTGGTGATGATGACGAAAAACACATGAAAAACATAAAATTGGTTTTTGACAGAATCTCAAAATATGGACTAATACCTAATTTTACGAAGAGTATATTTTTCAAGAAAGAAATACGATTTCTAGGACACGACATCGATGATAAGGGGATTCATCCGAATGGAGAAAAGATAAAGGCCATTACGGACATGCCAGTACCAACAACTAAAGAAGAACTAGCAACGTTTTTGGGCATGGCTAGTTATTACCGAAAATTTTTATGTAATTTTGCGGATTTAGCGGATCCATTATACAAGATAGTAAATAAAGAAAAATTTTTGTGGAATGACGTACATCAAAGATGTTATGATGATTTGAAGAATCTAATTAGTACACCACCATCGTTAAATTATTACAATCCAGATTTGCCGATAGGTATAGCGACGTATGCTTCGTAAAAAGGTTTAGGTGCTGTATTATTTCATATAGAAGGAAATGGCAAGGAGATGCCTATAGCATACGCATCGAGAACTTTATTGAAAGCAGAAATTAACTATACAAATATCGAGAGAGAGGCTTTAGCAATAGTATATGCAGTGAAGAAGTTTCAGGAGTACCTCATAGGCTCCAAATTCGTCATTATAACCGACCAGAAGCCACTCGTGTACATATTTACAAAAGGATTAAAAGATAACACGTCAATATCGATGAGATTGCAAAAGTGGAATTTGGCTATGGGAGCTTACGATTTCACGATAGTTCACAGAGCTGGTAAACGCAATACAGTACCAGACTGTTTATCAAGATTACCACAAAGAAATACTGAAGAGTGTATACAAAATATAGAAAATAATGAGATTACTAGTGATTTATGGGACATACCAATTAACTTTCAAAGAATAGTGAAAGAAACAAACGATGATGATGAATTAATGGAAGTAATAAATAACATCAAACATGGGGAAGATATAAAAAACAAAACATACAAGAATATGGAAATGGAGTTGAGTTTGATAAAGAATTGCCTTTTTAAAGAAAACCGAATCATAATACAGAAGAAAATGAGAAATGAGATGTTAAAAGATTTACACAAAGGACATTCAGGCGCAGGCAAGATAAAATTATTGGCGAAAGATTATTTATGGTGGCCTGGTATTAATGCAGATGTAGATCAAGAGGTAAAAGAGTGTGAAGAATGTAACAAATGGGCAGACAATCCACACAATATACAAAATCCATGGAGAATCGCGACTAAAATTTTTGAACGAGTACATATTGACTTTGCACAGTTCAGATATAATGATTACATGATATTTGTGGATGCGTATAGCAAATTTCCAATAATAAAGAGAATGAAAAATATTACAATCTACTGTGAAAGAACTGATGAGAATAATAAGTCTATTTGGAATACCATATAACATCGTGACGGATAATGGCACCAATTTCACTAGTCACCTATTTAAAAAGTTTTGTGAGGATCATGGAATAAAACATATTTTGACTGCTCCACATCATCAACAATCCAATCTTCAATGCGAACGTATGATTAAATCAATGAAAATGAGCTTGAAGAGAAATGTGGAGAATAACACAAAAGTTAACGCTGACATAGCTTTAGAAAATTTTTTGTTTAATTATCGAAATACTCCAAATGCGACGACAAATATGATACCAAGCAAATTAATGTTTTCAAGAAGTATAAGGACAAAATGGGATTTGGTTAAACCTATGGAGGAAAAAGATAACGTATTAAATCGAAAAATAACAGAAACGAGAAATACCAACGTAGGAGATCAAATTTGGTATAAAACGTTCAAGGAAAACATGTGGGATAAAGGAGTAGTGATGCATAAAGATGTGGAAATTTATCATACAAAATAGATACTCGACATAATATAATAAGAAGACATTTGGATCAAATAAAAATAAGATCGACAAGTAATGATTATACGACGAGTGAACGAGTAGAGGGGGAAGAGGTCAGGAGCAAAATCAAAATCAAGATAAAAAGAAAGAACAAGATCAAGTTCAAGTTCAAAGCCAGTTACGAGATCGAAATAAAAAAAGTATTCAAGAGCCAAGTCGACAATACAATTTGAGACCGAAGAAATTCATTGATTATAAATAAACTATATAAAATAAAATATAATTTTTTTAGTTAAATTTGATGTTAGAACGAAAAGGTACATGGACTTGGAATAAATAAAGAACTTAGGGATTACCTCAATATACGATACGAATGATGGGTACGATGAAGGGGGAAACTAAAAGAGAAGGAAATGTTATATTGTGGAAATAATTTAAATAAAATCACTCGAGGTGATAATGAAATATTTTATGTAAAAGTTAAAATCGATTTAAATGTAAAAGTAAAAATCAATTTAAAGGTAAAAAGTTAAAAATGATTTATAACGATAAAATGTAAATAAATTATATTTGAAAGACATATCTGTAGGATATTAATGTATTATAATTTTTTTGTATATATTGTTATGTTTTTTTGTTATATGATAGTTTTTGAAATTTATATGTTATAATAAAAAAGATAAATTAAATTTGTGTGTTTTAAATGTTTAAAAAATGTGTTAACTTAAAATTATAAAATCTCATCCTTATCACCTATCCGAGAAATCGTAAAATTCTTATAAATATTATTTTTAAAAACAATTAAAACTTCATGTAATAACAAATCCTGAAGGTATTTTTTTTCTTTTTCACCATCAATCCAACGATTTTTAAAATAGGCATGAGAAATAGTTGCCAAAAATGCACTTTTAAAATTGTTATCAAAATCATATATATTTTTAAATCTTTTATTTAAATAATTTTCTATGGCAACAGCTAATGGTTTGCAAAATTGTAGATTGGTTTGAATTAAATTTGTAATTTTTTTTAACGACATTTAAAATTGGAGCTGATTCTCCATAATAGCAGTTGATTTCACTCTGTATTTTGTCAATCGCTATAGCCAATAGGGCCATTATATTGCAATATTCTTTTAAATATTGAATTTCAATATCTCCTAATTTAGGAAATTCTAATTTTTGACATAATTTAGGAAGTTCGCCTTTAAATTTTAATAAACTATGAAGACTATCATACAAACTATTCCATCTAGTGCAACAAGGTGTAACTAATTGTTTTCCTAAAACTGCTTTGATAAGTTCGGCAGTTTTAGGCCTATTATTTGCATTCCATAGCATAGTACATTTAGCTATTGCAGGATGATGAATTTTAGAAATGTTAGGAGAATCCTTAATAGCTCTCTCGACATCTGCTGTGGCAATTAGACTTCGAATGTGTTGAGGCAATGTTATTGAGGCTTCTTTAGACCCTTAAATAAACAAATAAATAATTTTATTTGAATAAATTATTTTACTAAATTTACAATATCATAATAAATTTTAACATTGATGTCAAAGTCATTATCTACAGCTTCCATAGAATATCCAAACTCCTTGAAAGCTTTCTTAAAGTTAGAGCCGTTATCTGTAACAGTTGCTATAACTTTTTCGTCAATACCAAAGTCTCAATGAATTTCTTTATTAAGATCATCTTGAAGTACTTCAAAAAATTTGCCATTAAGTATGCTTAGTTTAAATTTGTTGTTATAATTTTCGGTTGAAGAATCATCTGAAGACGAAGATAAACATATTATTCTATTTTCTTCTTCCATAATTTTAAAATAGACAGATATAAAACGATTCAAATATGGTAGTTCTAATTGTTAGCAAATTGCTATATGACTACCAACGTCATATATCAAAAATTATCTTAAAATATCTAAATTTTGATTAAATTTTTCATTTAAATCTTAAAACAATATCATTTTAAATTTTAATACTATTTAAATTAACCAATATAAATTTTTTTAAAAGTATCTGTATCTTTTTGAATACAAAGTTGGTTAAGATACAAATACTTTTAAATAATATGTATCTTAGATATTGGATACAAGATACTTTCCAAAATTTTAAAAAAGATACAAGTATCCGCGATACTGCCCAACCCTGAGAAGCGCTATATATCACGTATCACGTAAAGAGTATATTAATTTGAAATATTTTTCTTTTGCAGTAGAGGTGGCCAAATCAGTTTGGAGAAATCTAAGAGATTGCTTTATGAGGGAACATAAAAACTATAGAGCCACGGATTCAGTGTACCAATTTGGAAAAAAACAAATCCTGTTATAGCTAAAATTGATGAAGCAAATATTGCTAGCAATGTATGAGCAAAGGAGTGGTAATGAAAATTATCAATAGATGGTAAATATACTAATTTTTTTAAGTTTTATTATTACATAGCTATTGAAATCCCCTGCATAGAGACAAGTAGTGAAGCTACAATTTTAAGGAAAGATTGTAATCATATTTTATATAAATAATATTATATATATTTAGCATCACCATCAACTAGTATAGGATCAAATTTATCTTGCAAAAAATTAATTAAAAAGAGGGATATTGATCAAGGTAATTTGCATCATTTGTAAATATATTTATAATTTTAAACTAGATCTATATGAGAAAATTCTTGAAATAGAAAAAAATAAAAGAAAATAGATTTTCAACAAACTCTTGGATTAATGTCATGCTTGAGCAAACCTTTGCAAAAAGATTTGAAATTGGAAAGAAAAAACTTATTAAAATTATTTTTGATTTATTGTTAAATTATTAAAGTGATAATGAATAAAAAATATTATATTGCATTGTTTTTATATCTTTGAAGAGCTTTTTATTATTTTAATCATATTTAAGACACATAATAAATAAACTTTTTTTTTATTAAATAATTACAAATCAATATAAAAAAAATAGAGTAATATTTTTAAAATTTATTAAATTATAAAGCTATAATTGCCATGATAATTTATTTCTATAAAAATATTCAGAAAGGGCATCTCTAATATCTTTAGAAACCTTTGAGGGGTTTTTTATAGATTGAGGATTCCATAAATAATTATTTTGTTTAGGATCTTGAGTCTCCTTGGGGTGGAGATCTATGTTTTCTTTATCAATAACCAAATTGTGTAATAGTGCATAAGTTTTTATAATTGTTTCGTTATTGGTGGCATTGGTATCCAAGGCTCGATCAAGAATACACCCTTTAGATGCCAATATGCCAAAGGTGCATTCCACTATTCTTCTGGCCCTTGAAAGGCGATGGATAGTTACATCATGTTCCCAAATATCTAAGCAATTTTGATTATACAATAAAATTAAAACTTATCAATTTTTCTTCTACTGATGATTTATAAGAAAATTAGTTTTTTTACCATTAGTTTTGATTTAATATGGGTTAAAATATAATAAAAGGTTTAGGAATAATTTCAAAGTTGTATAGATACCTTTTTTAAAAAAATAAAAATATGCTTGTCGCAACTACTATGAATGCTATGTCGCTCACTACACATTAGCTGCTCTGTCGTTTAATGTCGTGTTGTGTTTGTCGTGTCACTGTAGCTCTCTACTGTAAATGCACCCTTTACTTAAAAAATTAAATTTATACAAAAAAAATATTTATTTTTTTCCTACAATATATAATATAAATAAAACTACACAACAAGAATATATAATAAGGTAAAATCTTTTAATTTAAAAATTTAACTATAATATAATTAAAATTATACAAAAATAATATATTATATATATGATAGCATCTTTTTGTAACAATTTTTTATTTATTTTTAGCAAAAATCGATTTTCAAAATTTTGATCAGACAAACAGGAGCATTTAGTGCTCAAAAAAGCTTTCGCCATGCTAAATATACCTTCAATTGGCGCAGAGGATAGGAGAGTTGTATTATATTTAATAAATAAAAAATTTAATCCGGGGAATTTATTAAAAATATTTAAAGAATTATCTTTATTTTGAAAAAAGCTTAATAGATCCTCTTCACAAGAATCTTCATTCATTTCCTCATCAAAAAAATTAAACTTTATCAGGGAATATTCTGGTATGTGTGTTGGATAAAGGAATTAAGTATGCTCTTTCTTTATCAATATCTTCTCTCAAACTGGAAATAAGTTCAAGCATTCTTCCTTTGTTGACCTCTAATTTTATCCATGGCAAATTTAAATAGCGGATGAATTATTGTGGATAGTATATATTCATCTTTATAGATGTGTTTGAATCTATTGAAAATAATAGATAATCAAATAAGAAATTGCATGCAATATTTGAACTGATACCTTTTATCTATGCTTTCCAGGATTGAATTAATGAGCGGCTTACAAAACTTGAAATTATTTAGAGCTTTTTCTTTAAGTTTTAATATTATAATATTTATCGTGGAAGTGAGATATCCCAAATTCATTTTTTATTCGTTCTCTAAAATTGAAATAGCCATAGCAATCGGTTCCATAACCTATAAAATTATATATATGCTTATATCATATTTCTTAATTAACACTAACTGCTAAAATAGAGTTGATATTCAAATATCAAAAAATTTTATTTAAGTTATCTCTAAAATTATATCTATCTTTGTGAAATATCGCTGGTATCTATACATATACATAAAAATTACAATTTGAATAATAAATATGAAAATAGTTTTACCAAAATAAAAATAAGAACAAGTAAATCTGAATATAAAATAAGTTTTTTTACAAAAATAAAGATAATAATATAAGAAATTGAATTTTCGTTTAAGATTAAGAATTTGACTAGTCAACATTCTCCCTCTTCTAAGAAGCTTTCCTATAATTTCATGTAAGCTGTCATTGAGAGCTTGTTGACCAAATGGTTCATCAATTTGACTGTTCACGTTGTTGCTTAAGTCACATTTGTTATCATTTGCTTGTCTATATCGCATTTTATTTCACACGTTGGTCTTTCCAAATCGTTTTTGAGTTTGTACGTTGGTTTGTTCAAATCGTTAGCTTGATATCCTTATCGTTAGTTGTTTTCATCAATCGTTGTTTCGTCATATAACTTTACTTGTGGTACTCCTTTGTTATTATTATCAATTTTAAAAATTGTTATCATCACCAATAAGTCATGAATAATTTGGAATAATAATTGAACAAATTGGATATTATAATAAGTGAATTATCGGAATATAATATATAGAATAAAATTAAATTGATTAAGTTAAATAATCGAATATTGGAATGATAAATCAATAAGATTATTATATCATATTTTCAATGTTCAATTTATTTTTGCATTTAAGTGTTAAATATTTATTTTACATATATTTTTATATATTAAGATATATAATCTTTTAAATAAGATTATGTTTAATACGGGTTGGTCTAGAAATAGGTATTACATTATTTTTATTTATGGTATTGGTATTTATGTCCACACTTCCCTCCTTAAAAGAATTATTAGAGTTAGTATCATAATTTAAAAATATATTGTAACAATCCCATTTTCTTAATAGATTTAAATGTCTTCTTATAATACCTTTATCTGTTTTAACTTGAAACATCATGTCTATGTTATCTCTATCTTCATTTAATTCTAGCGGTTTTAATAAGTCTCATTTAATTCTTATGTCGCGATTAAACATTCTTTTAGAAGGTGCAACTCCCGTTGTATCATTTGGTGTGTTTTTATAATTGAATAAAAATTTGTCAAGTCAAGTATCTAAGTCAATCTTTATATCTTTGTAATGTGTGTCTTAAACGTTCTCACCATACATTCCACCTAGCCATTAGACTGCTTCTGGTATTTGGAAGTAAGTAAATGTTTGATACCATAATCATTGCAAAATTTCTCAAAATCATTTTATCAAGTTAGTGCCATTATCAGTAACTATGATTTCAGGTATTACGAATAGAGATGTGGCTTTAAAAAATTCTTTTAATGTAATTTCATTTGTAATATTTTTTACAGGAACAATAATTGGAAATTTTCTCTAGGCATCGACTATTATCAACCAATTTTTTGTGAAAAGCGGACGCGCATAATCTATGTGTGTCCTTTCAAATGGTTTGGTTGTCGAAACCCATGATTTTTTAATATCTTTTTAGGATTGTCATGATATATATTACAGTCGTCACAACTTTTTACTTCCATCTCAATGTCATTATTCATACCAGACCACCACATGTGATCTTTGACTAAAGATTTGATTTTTCCTGCTCCCTTCATGTAAAGACTGCAGTATGTTTTTTCTCATACTAGACAGAATTATGATTTTGTAATTTTTGTAAAGACAATCTTTAATTATACTTAATTTCAATTCAATGTTTTTATAAATCTTATTTTTTATAGGCTCATTGTTCTTAATATCATTGATGACTTGTGTTATTTCAATATCTTTATAAATTTTGTCACATATTTTATTAAAGTTAATAAGTATATCTCCAAAGTCATATATAATTGTGATATTTTTAACAATTTCATCGTTACTTTTTTGTGGTAATCTTGAAAATCAGGAACAACATTGTATTTTCCGGCTTTATACTTTATGTTGAAATCATAACCTTCTAATGTTATATGCCATTTTTGAAGTCTTAAGGACATAGTACTGTTATCCTTAAGTCTTTTAGTAAAAATATGGACTAAAGGTTTTGTAAATTTAGTCTCGATGTATTCCTGGTTTCTCATAGCAAACATAATTGCGAAAGCCTCACGCTCAATATTGGTGTAATTCATTTCGGATTTTAATGATATTCTCGACCCAAAAGCTATTGGTTTTTCTTTGCCATCTTTTTCAGTATGAAATAATTTAGCTCCTAAACCATATTTAGATGCATCAGTTGCAATTCCGATAAGTAATTCAGGATTAAAATAAGGCAAAACTGGAGGGAGACTAATCAAGGTCTTTAAATCATTAAAACTTCTAGAGTATTCTAAGTTCCCATTTTCCTTTGTTAACAATTTTATATAAAAAAGCAGCATTCTCTGCAAAGTTGTTAAAAGTTTTCTATAGAAACCAGCCATTCCTAGAAATGTCAATAATTTAGCAGCTGGTTTTGGTTCTGGCATATTTATTTATTGCTTCAATTTTGTCATAGTTTGCATGAATCCCCTTGGCGTCAATATCATGACCCAGGAACCTTACTTCGTTTTTAAAAAATAAGCTTTTGGCCAAATTAAATACTAACCCATAAGATAATATCTTTTCGAACACCTTTTTGATGTTGTTTAAATGAGTTTCATCATTATTTCCAGTTATAAGTAAATCGTCAATGTATGACATCTTTCATATCACCGAACATCTGATCAATAATTTGTTGAAAGATTGCAGATGAGGTCTTTAGCCCAAAAGGAAGTCTTGTAAATTAGTAGTATCTCTTGTGTGGATATTGTCAAAAGATTTCTGCAACTTTTATCAATGGGAATCTGTAGAAACGCATTTTTGAAATCTATCTTTATAAATTTCTTGCCCCGAAAGTTTAGCTATTAAGTTGTTTATTCGTGGAAGTGGATATTTGAAATCTTCTAGAACTAGATATATAGTGTCTTTGAAATCAGCGCAAAGTTGCTCCCTTCATC